TTTCCGTAAACTTTTCTTCATTTAACTCGTACGAAATAGGGTTTTCCATTTGAATAAAGGCTTTTTAGGAATCTTATTTTTGATTTTTGAAAGAATCATTGTTGAACCAAATATTGAGCATCAAAATTTCGAACTCACCGCAGAGCTTCATCTAACACAAAAAAAATTGTTTTTTTTTCCCGCAAATTCTCAGTTTGATTAAAAAAACATATGATAAATTATAAAAGTCCAGTTTTGTTTCGTACTCAAAACCCAAAATTGTCAAAATTTTCTCAAAAAGTAACCTTTTTTTGACGTAATTTACAGAGCGCACATTCGTTTACGATAAAATTTTTAATTAGTCGTCAAAAATCTACTTTTGATTGTGTTTTTTTACTCTTACTTTTTAGTATCTGCATTTGTTCTTATCTTTTTGGAGAATGTGAACGGTAACTCATTTTGCAGTTTGTTTTGTTTACATATTGACTTAATTAGGGACGACATGAGTAAGGCTGTGAAAACAAGTTTAAAAATGATTTTTTTTCATTGCATACGACTTGAGTGAAAAGTGTCCGTATAAGAGTGCTTTAATTTGATGGGACACAGTTAAGTGCCATATTAGGAAACTTGTCTCTGACAAGCTAAACCCACAATTTTGATTGACGGTACACCTCACTCTCAACTTAAACTGTTTTTTTTCTACTCAACTACCGTCAACTACTTATCACCTTATTGCATTCAGTGAAATAAAGCAAAACCCGAGCTATTCAGTATGTTTTGCTCTGACAAAACAAAAATTTTTTGTAGTCTGTGGAATTTTTCAACGACATGTATAAAACACAAGTGCGAGAGATAGACTCTAAAGTCTTTTTACTCAGTCGAATCTCCCAGTTCAAGTTTAGCATATGGTTGAATTTATGCGAAGAGGTTTCAATTATCATCATATGATTCCAGATACCATCTCGGAGAACCAACTTGGGTTAATGCAAAGATGGAGGAAAAGTCCGACTATGTTCTAACGATTTAAAAGTTGAAAATTATTTGTATTGTTATCCAAATTTCAAAATAGAAAATATTTAAAAATTGCGGTAGAAAATTTCGAAAAACTTTGCAAAACAAGTTTTCTACAACAGTGGTTTTCTTTTTACATTTTTTTGCATCAAAATTTGTTTTATGTGTAAAAGTTTGTTCCATCAAAAGCTTTCTTCCGGTCTAAAAAAGGTGTTTATCAGAACTTAAACTTAAGTAACTACAAAAAAATAAAAGAGTGGTGTCGTGTTGACGTTGACGGAGATCTTATTACTTTTTCATTGTTTAGAAACATCGTTAATTCAGTAACTTTAGTTCAAAAATGGAGAAAAATTTATTCAAATGAGAACACTGCCAGAGTTATGAATAATTCCGAAATAAAAACTTTGAATTAGATTAATTGGTCAATCATTATTTAATGAACCAAATGTAATTCTTAAAAAACAAAAATTATAAACCAAGAAAACCCAAAGTAGCTGTTGAATCATTGTTAGTGGTTGATTTTGAGGTTCCGTACAAAATTTTTTATAAATAATCTGGAGATGAATGAAAAATTATATTTATGAATATTTCATGCTGATTGGTTAAAATCAAAAATGATATAAGCTTCCGAAAAAGTGAAAGCTCAGTTCTGATTTGTTGATATCAAAATGGAGAAAACTCCATTATAAGTAGAGCTTGATTATAATTGGTTTTATGCAAATTGACAAAAACTTTCAATTTGAGAGTTTGTTTGAAATTCATCCTTTTTCTCATAGAATTTTATTTTAAAAAATTCACTCAAATTTAAGATATTTTTGGCAGTGAAAATACATTTTACGCCAATTATCTCAGATTGGCATATTTAACGTGAGTTACTTCCCAAAAATCTTGATTTTTGCATTAATTTTTGTTTTAGTTTTAATATAGTTGTAATTTTGGTTTAATTGTCATCGACAAAAAAAATCCAGGAAGGCTTGAATCATGACATTGGACCAAAAAATTTTAACGAAAGCTGACTTTATTGATCAATTGAAATGAATTTCTTGACTGAATTTAAAGTTAGCTGGACAAAAAACTGGTTAAGTGTTCAATGGAAACTGTGAATGGAAAACGTTGTATAGATGCTGAGTCTAATATGAATAATTTTTCTTTACTTTAGATTTCTTGAATAACTTTATATTAAGTTGAAACGTTGATTATTTTTCCTAAAACTTGAGATTTTTCCGCAAAAAAAAATAGACATTTGAACTTTACCATTCAAAACGTTGAAGTCTATAATATCACATTGAAAAAATTTTTCCCTATCCTAAAAGATAGAGTCTTTGGTAAATAGAGTCTTAAACATTGCAGCATCAGCAAAATCAGACCCCAAAAAATTACCGTCTTACCATCTGAAACTCTGAAACTTAAGTTAATGCTTGGTAAACCTATAGCATATCTTAATACATAGGGTGGAGACAGGATAGCTATTCCCTATCCGAATACATGGTGGCTCCAACCCCACACAATTTGAATCCAACCTATACTACTGATCGAAAAGATGTCCTTTCTTTAACTATTTGAGTTTTAGCCGTTCAGTTCAATTTGCTGGCAATAAATGACAATGTGACAATGAACTGTTGAACATTGATCTGATTTTGGCCTGTTGCGGAATCCGTTTACATTTCACAAATGCACAGTTTGGCCCCGTAATGGTCAGAGGAAACAGATACATTTATGAACTAACCCTTTTTGTTTTGTTTTTTGCTCATGAATAATTCAAGCTGGTTTTTAAAACTCATTTTCAATCAAAACGGAAATCAGAAACTGCAAATAGGATGCTACTAGGCTTTAACTGCAAAACGATAATATATATTTTTTCACCCCAATCACAAAAAAAATATATCGAACAGACTTTTTTGTATAAGCTCAACAAGAGAATGTCATCATTAGAAACTTATTGTTCTGACTTTCGATACGAAATTAACGGAATATTTGTGCTCGAGGTGGGTTTTTTTCTTCAGACAAACTTCAACATTTTAACTGGCCATTTTTGACGGAATTTTTTAATATAATTTGAAAGATATTGTTGTCGTGAGCTGAAATTTGAAAGGATATTTCACCTGTGATCATTTTTTGTGAAGTTATAGGGGCTGAAAGGTTGCCATTTCGGTCAATTTGGGACATTTAACGAGCGATATATTTCGCGCTATTAACGCGTAAGCGGAGAGTTAATCCGTCTTAAAAATTGCTCCAAATCGGTTGAAAGAAGCTTGTTTACCTTAATTCATTTTTTACAAGGAGCAAATTCTATCCTACTGTACGTTAAATGCCGCGTGGAGGGACAAATTTCATTGGATAAAAGATTTTTCACTTTGTTTTATTTCGTTTGATTTTTCAAAATTATTGCTACTCCACAAACTTTAAAATGCAGTCGGAACATTCAGGGCTTCGCCCTGATACGAGCAGTCTTGTTGCTGTATAAACTCAACAACACAAAGTCAGTTCAAAAACTTAGTTCTTGCTTAAGTTCAACAAAAGAACGTAAATGTAACGAAATCACAATTCTTTGATGTCACAAAATTGAGGCGGATTTCGTTGTCACAAAATGCTGAGTCATTTCAATTTCATGGTGTTTTTCACATAAAATGCAATTTACCTAAATCAGACAGAATAGGACCCAAACTGTTAATCGAATGAAAAAAAATGATCCATTAAAAAATATCGACTGAAAATTCCTGTCATAATTATCAGGCTTTTAACAGTTCAAACAAACAAACAGATCGCCTAATATATGCAACAAACAAAAATTGGCACGTTGAATTTTTTTCTCCGACTTTCGAAACGAAAGTGACGGAATATTTGTGCTCGGGGTGGTTTTTTTTTCTTCAGACAATATTCGACTTTTTAACTAGCCATTTTTGACAGATTTTTTTTATATCATTCGAAAAAGTATTGTTTTCCTGAGCTAAAATTTGAAAAGATATTTTACCTGTGATGTTTATTTTGTGAAGTTATGGGGGTTTAAAGATTGTCATTTTGGCCAATTTGGGACAATTAACGCGCGATATATCTCGCACTATTAACGCGTAAGCGGAGAGTTAATCCGTCTTATTCCAAATTGGTTGAAAGAAGCTTATTTGCCATAAATTATTTGTTACAAGGAGGAAAATCTATCCTTTTGTTCTTTATTGGGTGTGTGGGGGATAATTTTCATTAAAAATTTCAAATTAAAAAAAAAAAAATTTCATTTTGTTTTATTTCATTAAATTTTTTAATGTTATCACTGCTCCATAAACCTTAAAAGGCAGTCGGAAGATTCAGGGGCTTCGCCCTGATACGAGGAGTTTTGTTTGATTATGTTATTGATAATTGTTATCATATGCGCTTTATATACTTTAATGCTGATGATTGATTTCTTATTTCTAAAACGTCGTGTTTGAAAACACCACTGACATTAGAGATGTTCCCTAAACAAAAACCCTTCAAAATCCATTGTGAGGTCACATAATTCTCTCAAAAAAATTGACCTATTGCTGTGCATAGGTCCTGCCTTTTCTTTTTTAAATGTTTTTTGTTTTTTGTGGCACCTTTTTTTGGCAGACAAGTTTAGATATATTTTTGGCACGAAAATTTAAAAAAAAGATTCTAGCGAAAAGCGTTCGAAAAAACTGGCAGTTTATGGTCAGGTTATAAAAGCTTATGATCAAACTTGTTGCAGGAAGTTATTATTTTTCTTGACTGAGTGTAGAATTTTTTTGACTGAATGTAGTTTTGTAGTGTTTGGGTAGAACTCAGAAGATGATAATTTAGCAGGCTTAGAAATCACATCACTTTTGACAAAAACAGGCTAGAATTTATTTCTACCGAAACCAGAGTTTTGTCAGCGAAACTCTACTCCGAGCCAGATATGAACCTGACATCCCTCACTTTTGAACCTTTTTTTATCAATTCTAATTACCGATTTGATATAAAGAAGTATTATGTGGTATATGCTGTATTTCTCTCTGACATTTAAAAATATAATTTAGGACACCCAATTCACAATATCTCAACTGGCATCATCTGCTTTGTCTCCGGGTACTAAATACACAGTGTGTGTGGAACTGACAGCTACGAGTGCAGGTGGAGTCAACTACGAGATCAACACAGATGATTCTGGATTCCAGTTTTGCACAAGTTAGCTTATAAACCGAAACTTTTAGGCGTCGCTTCCACAGAAAAGGGATTATACGATTTTACAAAGCCACTAGGCAATTTTTTTGAGCAAGTCGTTTGAGTTTTTTTGCTTCAAAAACTATTTGCTCTGAAGATTGGTTATACCGTTGTAGATTTTTGGGCAAATGGTGCTGCAGCCCTTTTTTTCAAAAAATAAAAAATGTGAAACATTTTTTTGAGTCCACTTCTGCGATACCATTTATTTTGAATATTTGTTAATTTCAGAACCCGAAAGTGTGACAACACTTGTCCTAGAAAGCGTCAGCTCTGCCTCAATGACCTCGGCAACCGCCTCCAGTTTTGCGCCCTCAAGTGGAAGTTCAGATTCAGTTCGACTGACAGCCACTTGCGAAACAACAAGTGATGTATCATTAAATAAAAACATAGATGTTTTACTTGGTTATACTTACGTGTATAATTTTTTTGAAATTTTCTATTATATAATTTTTTCGTCGCTGCTGAAGAATTTCCATTCGTGGGCGGGCAATGCAAGAGACAAATAATAAAACTTAAATGAAAGAATTACAATGCTAACGATTTAAAGCAATTTTTATGAATGAGAGCGCGAAACAAAAAATAAATTACATCAAAATTACAATAGTTACGCAAGCAGTTTCTTACGACAGATCTATTTAACAATCCCCTTATGGTACCAAGTAACAAATCTCCCTACCACCCTATAAGGAAATAATTCAACGGTTAATAATATGAATTTTTGAGCCTAGTGTAACGAATTTCCTCTCACCCCTAATGCAAAGGGGGGAATAGATAAATGAGATCCCTTACCAGACATACTGGGTAAATTTTTCTACTTCTGTTAATTGAGTTTTTCTGCATTCTTTTTCTTGATTTAATTTATGACTAGAACGGATTTTAACCGGTTTAATGATTCCATCAAAAGTTAAATTCAATTTTTGCTTTCTGTTCCGACCATTGAAAAAGGTGAGGAACTTTGCATTCGGGTGTGTTTTAGTTTTTTTCTTTTTGTTTTCGATGCAAAATTAGGTACCACAAATAATTATCGGACTGATTTGAGTGATGTTCCATATTGAACCCCGTGATTCGAAACATTTTTTGTTTTTCGTCATATTTCGAGCTAATAAATAAGCTTGCTATGGCTTATTTTAATGGCTTAAAAGCTTACAATATCAGAATAAAAGCCGTCTTCAGTTTTACTCGAGGAAAGTTATTTTGTTTGCAGTATTATAGCGCTGTTTTGGAATCAAAAACTACAAAAACTCAAAAAAGTGCAAAAAAAATGTACAATTTTTGAAAATTTTCTTGTTGATTTTTTAAATTCATTTTTCTACAAAAATTATTTTCCAGTTTGCTTACTTCCTAGAAACTTTCAAAAAATTATATGTTATGGTTTTTCGTTAAGCTCATTTTATCATACCACGCCGAAAAAACGACCCTATTTTTAAAAAAAATGTTTTCTTTTTTAAGAAAGTAGTCGGAACACTCTGTGCTACTTGCACAGTAATTGGCTATCCTTGTTTTTATTGCAGATTTTTTTTGCAAAAAAAAAACATTTTTGTTGCCTAGAGAATGAATTATTTAAACGTAGACGAGAAATGAGCATGCGTTTCAGATTGAAAGCTATTTTTTTAAGTTACAGAACAGGAGTTGAAACTTGCATACAAAATAGAAAACTCAGAAAGCGAGCAAAACTTTAAGTCTCAAAAACAAAAGTTTTAAAACAACTAGCGCTAATAGGTGTGTCATCTCAAAAACTAAACCTCTAAACCGTTTGAAGCAATTTTTATAAATGTGAGCCCGAAGCAAAAAAAAAGTTACATCAAAATCACAATAGTTACGCAAATAGTTTCTTACGACGGATTTGGCGAATTATCCCGCACAACAAAATTGGTCCAAAGTTGAATTGAGAAACTAGTTCGTCTTTTTTTTCGTGTGACTCAAATTTCCACACTTGATCTTTGATGTCGTCCAAAATTCATAGCTTTTGAACTTTTTCCCGAAAATAATTCGGTATGGGTTAAGGGACAGTCGGAACATTCAGTGCTTTGCTCTGATATACGAGCAGTCTGGCTTACAACCTAATCGGTTTCAACTCGAACACTATTTTATCTAATCAACTTAAAACATCCTGATTTTACCTGCAGCACAATTAAAACACGGAGAAATTAAGTCAACGGAGGCGATAAAAACATTCATAAACTGTCTTTTTTGATAAACAGACGAAGCATGAAATCAGCACCCATTAAGCCCAATCAAAACAATTTTTGTTGATTTGGTGTTATCATAGGGTTCGCAGTTCTCAAGATTACTATCCAGCCGTTAGAGCTCAATGCATCTAACGGCTTGATAACAATCATGTACTATGATAACTTTAAAGTCTTAATGGGTTTAATGGGTGCTTGATTGGGCTTAACACCATTTCTTGAGTAACCTTACTGTTTTGATGCATACCTTTGAGGTTAATCTTAGCACCAGTTCATTTGCTGAAAACTGTCATTTGCTTGCTCAATGGCAGGGGCGGAATTAGGAGAGGCGGGGGCGGACGTTTTCCTTCCCTCAGCCCCCCCCCCCCCCCTCGAGAAAATCCTAGATCCGCCCCTGCTCAATGGCATTTGTTTTTTTGAACAAGATGCCAAAACGCTTGACTTTTTTTTTACCCAGAATACAACTGCCTAAACTTATTTTTTTTTCAGTTATAGTCCAAAGGGGAATTGCACAGTAAAAAGTTTGTAACACTTTCTGCTTTTTTATTTGATCAGTTGTACAAAAACAAAAAGGATTGATGGCTGCTAAGTTTTTTAAAGCACCCATCACAATGCTTCTTTGTAGTTATGTGAGAAGTTAATAGCGGTTTGATTAAGATTACAGTCACTCGTACGATTATCTGGGATTGACACCAGATTTAAGAAGGCAAAGGCTCCGAAAACATTGGGGGAGAATATAGCCTTTTTAACTTTTAGCGATGAAACGTTATTCACTTCACTTTATCCAAAAAAGAACCACAAACATCGCTTGCTTGCTCCTGATGATACTCCTTCAAAATATGGTTTGTTTGCTTTTTTAAGACACAACTAAGTTTAATGTGCCACTAGTGCTTAAAGCTTTCCAAACGCACATGCTGGAAAAAGGTCATCTATTTTTTGTCAAATTGAACTGCGGAATGACGGGAATAGGCCAAAAGTTTTGTACTGGAATGAAAAAAAAACAAGACATTGGGTAAAAAACGGGACGTTATGGTTAGCAACACTTGAAACGGGCGTTAGAAACATAAAGAACGAGTGCTAGACAGAGCAGTGTGCTTGAAAAACACTAATAACGAGATTGCATTAGGGTAAGCAGAAATGGTCGCTGCGCTTTGTTATGGTTAGAACTAAACACCCCGTTTGGTTTATGCAGCTCTACCATCAACAGGTGCATTACTTGTGACTTGAAACAAATCCACTGATACCAATGAAGTCGCATTAGGTTGATTTTGCTATGAAATCGGTTTGATCACTTGCTACTGCTGTTCAGAAACAACTGCGAAAAAGTTTGCTGACGCAAAGTTATCAATTTTTTTTGCCAGCTATTTTGTCTTAGCTAGCCTTGAAATTTGTATCTACTTATAAATTTTTATAACTTGGTGATGTATTCATAAAATTATTTTTTACGGTACGAATTTGAATGATAAATTGGCCCAAGCTAGTCAAAACAACCGGTGTTTGTCCTTGAGGGTCTGCCTTAAAAATCGTTGAACCAAAACAGAACCCTAACTGGACGGCATTTTTCTGAGCCCTACTTCATAGACTTTTCACGCTCAAAACTGCACAATTAGGCCTGAATATACCAAAAAATAAATTTGGGACAATTTTTTTTCCGACGATTGATTTTTCCAATTGGTACAAACTGTAGTATTTGGCATATTAGAGCCAATGACAACAATTAGAGACAAACTCGTACTGAGTTGAAAAACGTTTCTTTTTACGAACAATTTTTTTATTTCAGCGAATTTTAGGGGTTCATAAGGACATTTGAAGCCTTTCAACTGTATGAAAAAATTTGAAACATTTTTTTGCAGCAACAAAGAGGTGAACGTCACATTTCTTGCTTTTTGTGACTGGTTTCGACCACAAAGTTCAGGAAAATCTTCAGATACGTCCTTATCCGAAAATGTGTCGTGACGCAAAACTACCCAAAAATGAATTAAACTTATCAACAGTGTGGGATAACAACAGACAGACTCTCAACTGATAAAACAAAATGTATTATGTGAATTGATCACTAGAACTAACAATAACGTATTCTGTATCTTTCACCAGAAAACGAGAGAGTGATTCTTTCATTCAACAAGCCACTAACTCGGTCGACTGGTACCGACCTTGATATATCAATCAATAAAACCAAGCTGACTCACACTACTGTGACCTTTAACACCATCTTAAAAACACAATAACAATTTCATAAGGGGTGGCCCTCCTGGCGTACCACACTTCCCCCCTTTAAAAAATTTCTGATCAACAGAAAATATCAGCTCAAAAATAAGTCTAAGTAGGAGTTTCGAATTTTTCAGTTTTAGTTTTTTGCTAACTCTTTTTCTGATGCTCTACATTAGGGTTCTTTTTGAAATAGTTTCATTTTCTTCTTGGAGACGGAGATGATGATAGCTCCTCTGCCGACTCTGGAATAGTTATCCCTCTGGAAAATCCTAGCACTGACGCATCTGATACCTCCTTTACCTCATGACGTATGGGACTGCTGTAGAATTGTGTCTGCTTCTAACTGCGTCCTGAAGTTCGGGACGACGATGATTCATTCCCATCTTGTTCTGCTGTAGTATTTGGTGTGAAATTATGTGGGGTGTCTGCCGACTTGTTAGGGCTGGTTTCCGGAGTTGGTTTTACAATTGTTAGGTGGCAGGACTTCGTAGTAATATTAGATTCCCCCACTTGGTCATCTTCCGAGGATACTGGCATTAATCTAGTTGCATCTGAGACAACCTCTGCACCAGGTTATAAAGTGACTCTGCTGGTAATGTTGGACCTTCTATTATCACTCTTGACCGAAATTGGAACTACTTTAGAACTTGACGGTTGGTCAATTGGTGAAGAGCTCGTCATTAGTGGGTTGATGACGCCTCCTGAACTTGACGACAATCTTGTTAGGTCCGTTATCGGAACTGGAGGTTTAGAAGTCTGGATCGGTGTGCTGGCCCTGGATACGCTGGGTGCAATCCTCCGAAATTTTCCGTGGAAAGGGACTGTCGTTTCTGCCAGTTTTGTTGACGCTGACAATTTTCTCGGGTGTGCTTGTGCCTTCGGATCTATCAGTTCGTCTGATGAGGAAGATGACGAGAACTTCCTTTGTCTCCTTATTCTTTTTCCAGTTACTGGCTTGCTGGGTCC